GTACTTTAAAATATACTTGTATAGGTAGTTTCTTGTGCAATTGGTATAAAACCACAGTTTATCTTAAGCATATAGATATGGTTGTATGAAATTCAATGCCAAGCAGTAAAGCAAATCTTGTATTTCTGTCATGTCTAAAGTGACCACTGAAAAGTAATACAGTCAGCCTAATTCTTTTTTAAAAAATCAATACATACTAAATATTTGTTTCACCTAAAATTTTTTACTAAGAAAATGGCCAATTAAATATAGTTCAATATTATATTTGCCCATAAATATCCATTCACCATTTTCTATAATATGTTAACATAACATCGTACTAGTTTTCATTACTAAAGAAATATTGCTAAACTTAATGAAAAAGTGCATGTGTAGTCATGTTGCTTGAAAGTTTTGGAATTAACTATTCTTCATAAACATTAGATTAAATGACATCTTGAAGAAATACAAGTATATTTAATTAATCGAATGCACATAAGAGACTAGACATGTCAGCATGGACATATTTTACTATGTAAAGAATGCTTGAGGGGCACTTGCTCTTGCTCTGTTCAGTTTCACACCTGGCTCTCAAGTATTGCATCTTCAGCAGGACCTGAATTATCATCCAGGGAGTCAGGAGTTCTGTTAGAGCACTTAACTCTAAACAAACGCAAAGTGGATAAATCGTGATAAGTTACGTCGAATGGGCATATCCCATATGGACTTTGCTTGCAGCAATGCCTTTTTTCCATACCATTTTTTTAATCAAAAGTAACCTAATAAATTACAATGATCTTCATGATTGTGAATGAAATATGAACACCCTACACAACATTCAAATTCAAATAATTTATGGATTTTGCTTAAATGCACTTATGCTATAATACTTTAAAGAATGCAGCTGAAGTATTAGAAATAGTTAAGCCACAATGGCAGATGGATAACATAGTGGGAGACTTAGAGTAGCACTAGCTGAAATTTTGTGACAACTTTAAATGGAGATTTATTTACACTCAAATCTAAATTTGGAGAGATAATTAAAGTCTTACAGAATTATAAACAATCAGCTAAATAGGAAAACATTAAAAAATAAACCACCCAGGTAGACCACAGCACCAATATGTAAGAAGACAGATATCTGCTACACATACAGCAGCGAGGCTTTTTGAAACTCCTTGCTCAGGATCCATCAGTATTCCTGAAAGTGCCTCAGATTGTAAATGCTGCCAAAGGGAGGCCCCTCGCTTCCCGGTGATTTCGCTATCCCTTTGAATGACAGCGATGGAGCACTTGCATGCTGTGTTTGGTGCCTTGCATGAGGAAGACATGCAAAGGCAAGGTCCAGTCTGCATGCTGCTTAATGAATGTTTTTCCTTTTTCTCTCCCTCCTTGTCATGTGCTTTCAGAAGACAACAATGTGGAAGGTGGGTGTTTTCTACCTTATTTCCCAACTCTCATTTGCCTTTTATGTTCTAGTATTATTAATAGCGTGCATCACAAATTACAACGGTAAGTTGAACTTCTCTTAACATTGGTCGATTTCTGATTGTGTATCACTTTTCATATAGAACACACATCCCCTTAACCCCATCGGGACAAGCTGTATGATGCTCCTACCTCAATGCCAGACACTGGCAGATTTCAGCATCCCACAGAAAACAGAATCCTTACAGCGGTGTTCTTTATGGAAAATGATACAAAATGCTGCTTCTTTTGGTTTCAATGAGAACGTTGTTTTTTATTTTTCTTTTGCACTTTCAGAACACAGTGCATGAGTTTTTCTCCGTTTTTGTTTGTTTGCTTGTTTGTTTTCATCTTTTCTGGTGAACGTGTTAGCATTATATCACTTCAAGCCCATCGGTTTAGTTTAAAATTATTTGATTTCTGTAAAGAACTCAGAATAAGATACTGACTATAAATAAAAGCTATAGATTTAGTTTAACAAAAAAGCCTTTGGCCTTTGGAAATGAAAGCCTACAGCATTTGGACATGATTGCTGGTAAGTAAATTTTTAATAGTCTCTGTCATGTTAAATACAACCACAATAGTTAAGTCAAGATTTTCTAGGATTATTTATGTCCACAGATTTTGAAAAAGTTTATTTTTCCCTATGGAATCAAACATGAAAATACATTTCATCATTCTTATTTTTAAAGAACCTACATGTACTAGTGAATGTATTGACAGCCAAATCTCTGAAAAATAAAAGTGAAATAGAAATAGGTATGGCAAAGACGTGTGGAGGTGATGTTCTATCAACTTACTTAATCATAGCATTCACAATTCGTGCCAAAACAAATGACTAGTATCTACAGGTCAGAGGAAAGCATTTAACATATTCTATTTTGCTACAATATTTTGAAATATTGCTATTCTGTAGAAATATGTGTGTTTCTATTGAACAATAGATTTCGTAGCTATATCCTCAACCAAGTTTTGAAGATAAATATTTATCACAAGTACCAAGATTTCATATCCCCCAAAAGAAGCCTTATGTTAATATAGAATTGCTCAGTATCAAGGCTCAGCATCATATTTGCAATTCTTTCACAGGTAATTTTATAATTGTGGACCATTTCTGTTCCAAGTAAAACCATTGAAAACTTCAAAAGAAGTCATAACTGATTGGAACCATATATGGCTTCTATTTTTCTCTACTATAATTAACATTGCATGTGAATATGTACTTGATAAAGATGATATTGCCCTGCAGATCTGATAATCTTTCAAAATCTGTCTCATTTACATTGTGCATGCTCCTTGAAATCTAAAATTAAAAATAAAATTCTATTTCTTTCATTTCCTTAATCATTCTTTACAATGTTCCATGATTTTTGTTCTTTTCTCTTTAAATATAATTGTATTCAAAGGGGATTTAAAACTAGTCTCTGTCTTCTCTTCAAATATTCATCCCAAGCAAATATGTGACCGTTTTTTCAGAGGATTGGCCCATAAACCATGGCAGTAAAGTTTATGTAGTCATCATTTTAGCATTCTTATTTATCACTTGACTCTTAACAGTACAAAATCTAATATGAAAAATATAAATGTCTTTTGGATTTAACAATATCATCTATTTTTATCAATAAGGAGCGGTGGTGGCTAACTGTATGTGGGCTAGTCATTGGGCTGCTAACTGCAAGGTTGGTGGTTCAAAAGCCCCAAGCTGCTCTATGAGAGAAAGATGAGGCTGTCTGTCCCTGTAAAGCTTTAAAGTCTATCTAAGCCCTACATAAGGGGTGCTGTGAGTTGGAATTGACTTGATGTTAATGAGCTTTTTTGTACCCTTATTAATAAGTGCCCTAGTCGCGCAGGGTTTAGAGCCCTTTGTTCAAACACACAATCTGTTCTAAGGGAGAACTGCGTGGTAGGTTCTATAAAGACGCAGCCTTTGAAACTTTATGCGGGAGATCTACTATGTTCTCTACAGATTCTGAGTCAGATTCGACTCCAGGGTAGTGGGTTAGGATTTGAGCAGTGTTCAAAAGTTTCAAACCAAAAGAAGAAATTACCTCATTGACATCCAGTTGATTCCAACTCAGGCTGGCTTCGATGGGACAGAGGGAGCTGCGTTCCGTGGAGTTTGCAATGACTGCTCTCGTCCAGAAGCACAGCTCTAGGGGGTTCTTCTGTGGGCCCTGTGGGTGGTTTCAAACACCAATGAGTTAGTTGTGCCCAAATGTTTAATCACTTGTACCACCCAGAGACACCTTAATAACCATCGAAGGTGTCTAATACATATTTAAAAATTAATCTTCTACAGAGCGAATTCCCTGATTTAGTCTACAAATACAAAGTTGTAAATTCTTATTAGGCAATTTTTATGTTTTTAAAGTACTATATATATGTATATGTATATATCTGATGAAATAGAAATTACAGAAAAATCCTATAATCTGAACAACAATGAAAAAACTTTCACTTCAGTATATAAAAATATCATCTCTCAGCAGATCATTTATCACATTTTAAATCTGCCTGAGCTTTTTTTGTTGTTATAGTTTAAAATGTTCAGAAAACACTAAGAGATGCTACATAAAAAGAAACATTAAAATATTATGGGGTTTTACAGCCCTATCTACCCAAAAGGAACATTTCTGTACCCCTATGATTTTATGGTG